GTTGTGGATTAACAAACAATATTGTTTAGGCACCTTCAATCATAAACTAATCCTAAAAACCGTGGACACCTTATAGTATCAGAAGAGAACTAGTGGGACTCGGACATCCACACCCACAGTATTCAGTGGCACGAACGGGTCTTCACAGTAAAAAAGGCAGTACTGCAGTTGGGGGGTGACAAGGTGACACAGTGGTGGCCTTTAGAACAGCAACGTTTACCGAGAGTGACCCTTCAGTAAACTTCTGAGATACCACAGATGCTCCATATTTAGGAGATACGGAACCAGGGTGGTGTTTCAGAGGCGACCGTAGGTGCAACTCGGATTTCAGTGGCAGCTAAAGCTATCGTTTATATGTGCTCCAGGGTGACAATCAACACCTCTAACAACACTGCAGGGATTGTTTGGGATATTAATTATGGCTAAAAACCCTGTTACCAGTGTCTTGTATCAGAAATCACTTTATTAGAATGTAAATGTAGTGTACAAGCACCAAATCGTTTTAGCTTAACTGTTTAATGGACATTCGTTATATAAATGACTAGTGATTTAAAAGAGATCTTTAAAAAAAAAGAGATTTTTCCTTTTTTTTTTTTTTTCTTTTGTTCAGATTACTCACTATCTTCTATTCTGATAGAAGACCCTGAAGGTTACTAGTACCCTGGTGTGTATAACTGTGAGTGGCACACACACACACACGCATGCACACAGAACTGTACACCTCACTGCTACATCAACCGCCCCTTAAATAGAGAGCCCCAGCTCTGGCACCAGGACCTGTACATCAGATATATTCTCTTTTTGTGCATTTCGGCATCATTATCACCACACAAGTTCCATGTTTATCACAAATCAAGGTGGTCTTGAATGTAGGAACAGCCCGTCCCTCACCCTCTCTAATAAAGCCACAATTAAGTCTTGTAATTTCTCTGTTTTTCTGCTGTTCAGCCGTGCAAATCCAGGCAGATGTGCAGACTGCAAAACTGACTTCCAGTCTCTTCCAACCCCTCACCAGTCCAGCGTTATCACACAGAGACAACAACGTCGAGATAGAGTCTGTCGTAGGACTCGCGGAAGCAGAGGATGAGGAGCAGGCTGAGCAGACACGATCCTGGCAGGCACCAGTTGAACCAGGAAAACTCTGTAAAGCAGAAAACAGACCCAACCTCAGAGTTATCAAACACTTTCTGTGTTTAAAGGGACCATCTGAACATGCTCTGTGACACTTCTCAATGGACAACTTAAGTATATATAAAGTTACATGCATATATATGTGTGTGCATATATATATATATATGTATATAACCAATGCCTCCAAACAATGTTAATCTTCCTTATTCAACCTGTCCATGGAGAGAATTGGGGAAAAAAAGTAAAATCTATCGTTACTAATGGAGAATGAACCACTTCTGAAGACTGTACTCATCAGTTCTTTGATTTCTATGGATTGAAAACTGAAACAAATTAAAAGCGTAGGAAGCAGCAGGATTTGATTTTGAACCAGACCTGCTACATAGTATAAGGAGGGAAAACCAATTCCTCAGAAGAAACTTGTGAGTGGTATGATCAATTCCATTTAAAACTAGTTGCACAAACAGCTCCTCAGAAGCCTCTTTTTAGCTGTTAGACATAATGTACTGCTCTTAAAAGCCTGTGTTCCACAATCAAGAAATCCTATTGTCTGATATTTGACTGCTAATTAGCAATTTTATTCAGTGTTGCTTGGTGTTTTTTTTTTAAGCAAGTGCACCACAATTTCCTATTTTTAAAATCTGGCAATTTACTGAAGAAACATTAATTTTATTGGAGATGGTGTTTTATTTCTTTTTTTATAAGCTTCCTTTTTTCTTATTATTAATTTATTTTTTACAGAATCTAAACCCTCCCTCAAGGTCTGAGTTAATAAAAATCAAGAATTCAGCACTGCTACTTTCTTAAATCTGTAATTTATGTTACTGAAAGAAAAAGCACAATTTTTATTACACAATGCAAAGGACAAAAGTCAGAATGCCTAAAAAAAGAAAAAATCAACCTTCAACACCCTCCTCCCTCATCCACCAAAAACCCTTGCAGATTTGTTTAGGCAGTAGTCTCATTAAAACCTTATTAAAATTTTTCTAGGCTTGGAGAAGACCATGTTATGTGATGCCAGAAGTCAACAGGTAAATGCTTTGCTGGTATTTTCTTTATAAAACCATACTCTTGCTTAAGTGGATTAAGCAGACTTTAACCCAAACATCCTAAAAGACCAAATTTTACTTGTGAATCCTTCACATCTTTTGTAATCCAGAATTTGTGATAGTACTGGCAACACGCGCGAACACATTGAGTGCGTGAAGATAAAGGTCGATTTGTTTTTGTTTTTCCCTTGGAAGTCCCTGCAGAAAAGGTGAAGGAAACCGCATCCAGAGGCTGCGGCTTTGGGTCTTGGGGCACAGCGCGAGCTCAGCCAGGCTGAGCTTTAGAAAGGTTTATATCTCCACTGCACTAGAGGGACCAAAATCTTTAATGCACTGGAAAGTTTCCAGGGTTTGACTCTTTCACAGCCTTTGCAATATCAGAGTACAAGGACAAAACGAGATAAATCTGAATTAAACTACTGAAGTATTTTTTGGCCTAAAAAGCAAGACTGAGGTAACAAGATGAATTTGTCTGAGTTCTGGTTTATTTTTAAACTTCTTAAATGCCATTAGAGGATGAATTTGAATCAAATGAAAAACAAATATTTAAGGTCGTTATCTGCCATCTAAAGGATTTTTCTGTCAAGGGAGCCAACAGCACCCATTGGCATTGATCCCCCCAGTGACCACCTGCACTCTTATACTTTCGATCGTTTGCAATATTGCATCATGGAGAATGGAACATCCTGACACAAATTTCTTTTACATTTTTTTTCCTTCTGAAGAAATAGGGAAAATATTCCAAGTGCATGGATATACTAATTTCAGGTTTATCTTTACCTGCACTTACTGATACCTGCTAAAAAAAAACTAGAGACAAAAAATTGCCACAAACACCCTATTTATGAGGGAACAAGTTCACTTTACCATGTTTCCTCAGTCAGAAGTGAGACATTGTATCCTCAATTATTAAGCAATTCTGAACACTGGATTGTTACTCTAAAAAATGCTGAAAATATCCTCCGAATATTCTGTGCAATCTTTTCACCTCAGGTATAAATGTTGGAATTAATAGTATATATGAACAGTTCACAGTTCACACCAATTAATGTTAATCATAAAAGCATTCTTTCAAATGTAAGGACTAAATATCACGCGACCCAAGGCTAGCAGGGACAGAATCCAGATTTTACAATTATGCAGTTCAATGTCAGTATTATTTAAAAAAAAAAAAAAAAATCATTTCTCTCAGTTTGTGTTCACAGACCACAGTTCGGAATGGAGCTGTTAACCTGCTTGTGATTCCCTGGCAGAAAGATGCACAAACCATGCTGAAAATTTACCCCAGGCTCTAACCTTCGTAATTTCAAGGCCAGTTTATTCTGAAATTTGTCAGGATCCTCTGGGTTATGAAACACACCACCTTTAAAATACTTGCGCTCATGATAATATACAAAACTCGCAATTTCTAATGCTTCCAAAGCAAAAGCAAAACATTGCTTTACAATCTTGTATCATGAAGCAAATGTTTACCACAACAACAAAATACAAACCGAAAATCTGCATCTTCGAAAGCCATTCATAAAGACCACTTCCCTTTGAAAGCAAGACAGGTTCCTATTTTACAGCTTAGAGTAATAATATGTATTACAGCCTACTAAATAGCAACTTGGAAGTTACGATTATGAGTTATGGGGAAGCAAGTAATATTCAAGAGATGAGAGAGTCTGAAGCAGTTGATGCAAATATAAAGCAAAACACTGTTCTGCCTCCCTAGGCCACTGGATTACCTTTCCTCTTTGAGCAGTGGTCAAGAGATTCGCTCTTCCCTGCAAGAGTATGTCCAACCCACTGAACCATAAATGGGGCAATACAATCCTGAGCAATACAGTTCTAGCCCAAAACACGAGATTGGATTAGCTTTATTGTAGTTCTGAATACCTAGATACAAACATTATTAATGGTCACATTACCCAGGCCTTTATAAAAATATGATGACTGTGTGTATCTTGATGGCTTCTGGCTACAGCAAATTTTAAGTGGAATATGACTATATGAATCTTTCACTAAAGCATTTCATTTTGATTAGCATGCATATGGAAAAGAAGAATTAAAGTTCTTTTCCCTTGCTGCTACATGGGGGGGGTTCAAACATTTGATTTGTGACAGAAACTGTATGTGCAAATCCTCCCCGTACTGACAAGGGTGTATCTTCATGGAAAATTGTATTTTTGAAGTAGCTTGTATTTCTTACCTGTGTGGTAAAATGTGAGGAAAAACAACAGCACTCCCATAAACACATTACTCAAAAAGGTGACAACTCCGCAGGTAATTCCTTCTGGAACGGGGTAGACTGTCTCCACAAAGAGCTCAAAGAATATTGGTACGCTGCTGTTGAGGAATATACCCAACAAAATGCAGGATGTGTACAGCGTAGCTATAACAGAAACAAAACCAGTTATTAATTTCACGCTGGCATCTTTTTCCCCCCATTCAGAGATGCCAAGAATACTTGGGCAGCTGAAAAATGTATACATTTATTTTTCTCCTCTGTGTATCATAAAGCATATCACATCCCACCAGTTTTAGACAGAATGCATACACTAATTTGGAAAAATATTTTGAAAAAACAAAAATACTGATTTATTTTTTTTTAAACACAAGACACATTCAGTGATTTGTAATTTACTTGTTAAGTAAAACAAACATAACAAAATTATGAATGCAAAGCATCACCTACAGTTTGATTTACCTCTGAAACGAACAGAAACTATTGTCCTACACACAATTAGGACAGGGAGCAATTAATGCACCACATTAGAAATGGACATGGATTAACCTTTTGACTCAGCTCTAAAGGTCAAAACTAATTTTGCTTCCATTTTACAAATAAATATTAATGATCTACCAGATATCAAGACATTAGTATTCATCAAGGCCTGAGCTGCAACATGTTGAATCCCTTTTGGCTTTGAAAGGAAATGAAGGGCACCCAGTGCCTGGCAGGCACAGGACGTTTGATAATACAGATTATTCACCACTGTAAAACAGATTATTTTTTTTTGACAAACCAACAGAAGAATACAGACATTTCTCTACTAGCCTCAGATATTTTGTTTTATGATTTCTGACACTGACAAATACTTTACAGTGCTTAATATCTTAATATAAACACTTAATATACCCATATTATCTATTAATAAACCTAGTAGATCTTTTTCTGGGAAAAAAAAAGTTCAGAAGAATTTAGTACCGATTCAGAAATTTAAATAAGTCTTTGCTAAGCACTGTCTTGGGAAGGGAGGATTTCCTGACTTGCAGCCTCGATAATCTGAGGTTACGGATCAAGGAAAAAGTATAAGGAAACAATGAAAAGGCTTGGCGAAAAAAAGGAAAGTCTGAAATAATTTTTGATGTTTCCACCAAATTTACAAGAACACGTAAATAAAAAAATTTTAGATGCAAAAGTGTTACCAAGTCACAGCACCTTTTCACTGCAGTATAGTACAAAATCCTTAGCCATTTTTTTCCCCTATAGATATGTATGTTTACATAAAATAGAAAATTCATTTTCAATTTAATTTCATTTTCTTCTGTCTTGGAAAGGGGAAAACTGAAACAGCTCTGCTTCATCTTCTGTTAAGGACTGCTCAAACTTTCAATTGAGAAACTCTGAAGAAGCAGGAAACTTCTGGTTTAAAAAACATAAATTAAAAAAAAATCACTGTTTCTTAAAATATGAAGACTTGTGGAAAAGAGATAAAGTCATTCAGAAGCAGAAAGGGCTATTTATCAGATCCTCCATTTGATGTGGTTTGCTTCCAAGGCACAAAGACATATTTCGTTCTCTACATATTTCTTTCTGGACAGGAAAAAGAGGACAGGAGACTCAGCCAGAAAGATGATACAGATGGCACGACTTCAGGAGGAACAGATGGCCCCCTCTTTTTTTTAATATACCCGAATGCTCTCAGTTGTTAAGAAAATAAGAAAGAAAAAAAGAAGAAATAAACCATGATAACTTTTTCAACTCTCAAATTCTCTTAATTGCAGAATAGAAGTCAAAGAAATGGATGCCAGGTATGTTCGAGAGTTCTCAGAGAGGAAGGAAAAACCAAACCAGTATCAGGATGCTCTTCCTAATGGGCTCTTCTAGCTAAAACTGAAGAACTGATTCCCTAGTTACAAGATCTATAGATTTTTGCTGCAAATCCTCACCATTATTTGAACTTTCATAAACCTCTCTTTGAACTCCCATTTACCTCAAACACCGCTGCATATTGCTCTGTCTGTCTCTAACTGCTATCAGGTGTAGCCAGCAAATCCGAGCACTGAACTCAGCTATTTGACATTTTTATGTTGGCTTGAGAAACCAACACATAAGTGAAATAGAAGAATTTCAAATGAACATCTGCCCTTCATTACACTCAGTTGCAAGTACCTATAGATAACTACTTGTAAGTTCTCAAGAACATTTTCAGAACTTTCCCCAGAGAAAAGAAGGTGGTAGCCAACTGTAATTCTGTGTTAGAAACTCAAACCGTGGGAATAGTTGTGAAGCTGCTGAAAGCCACAATAAGCACCCTCAAAAGTGGCGCTGCCTACACAGAGTGCCAGAAGCAATACCTCTGCAGGAAGACCAAAACCTCTTCCATAAACAGCAACAGCCAGGAAAGGGGAATTGTGTGCCTCTAAAGAAAGACAATCTTTAGATGTATAATTTCCAAAAAACTTAGATTTACTTGGTGTGAAGGCAAAAATATATGAAAGAGGAGCTGTTTAAAAGATCAAGACTTCAAGTTGTAGTCAATACAGTAGGTGCAAAAGTTTCCATAAAACAAACAAAAGCCTTCAAAATAAATTTGATAGTTTAAAATATGCTAGTTGAATTATGGCATTGGTCATCACTTACTAAAATGTATTAAGAAGACTAGACCACAAGCAAGTAAGCACAATAACTCTGTACTTTAGAAACTACACCTTGGTATTTCCTTGTCACGACAGCTTGCTTCAGTCATGCAAATACACCCACCGGCACACACCTCACCCTTCCCTTCTACCACAAGCACAGCAGCTTTGGCATTACCTTTTGGTTTTTCCCAAAGCATCGCCTGTCTTGTGTGTGCACGCCAAAAACCACCAACTGAATACCAACAACAACAACCACCAGCTCAGATCACAGGTGGTACTTATAAAACAAGGTCTATTCATATGCACATATATATTTGGAATTAATAAGCGGAAATGTCAAGGCAAAAGGACAGGCAGAATATAGCGTCCAGCAAATGCCAATTTAAGTTCCAAGATCTAATGGAAATGACAGCTTTTAATTGGTAAACCACCAAAAAAAGCTCTGAAAGTGAAAGAGACGTACACATCTGAAAGCCTCCCTTAATGGGTACATACTGCAGTGATGGGAAAATATTTATTTCATGTTTCTGTAAATCATCCGGGGCCTTCCTGACTGCTATACAAATAAGCTTATTCCATTCACTTGGCAATTTAGCCACAAATCCAGTTGGTCGACTAGACAGAAAGTCAAAGATAAGATAAGCAGTTTCAGAAAAGTAAGTTACAGGAAGAAATCAAGTGAAAGCGCATAAGTAGGTTTTGCCTTTTATTTCGTACACTAAATGGCACACCTCATATTCCAGCTTACGGGCAACAAGATACCGTAGCAGGGAGAATACCACCTATTAACAGAGACCATTCACTTTCCATTACAGCAACCTTGCACCGAACGAACACAATTACCATGATTTTATACCGTAGAAGAACAGCTGCTAAAGTTACAGCGATTGTTTTTTCAATTAAGACAATCTTGATGACAGTCATTGGAAATGAATATAAAGCTATGAAAGCACTGACAAAATAAAAAAAAAAGAAAAAGAATTTGCCAAGAAGCTAACATTATGTCCTAAAGCCTAACAAGGACAAACAACTAGCTTGAATAGGCACACAATGGGGAAAAGTACAAAGAAGTATAAAAAAAAGATCACTTTTTCTTAGGAAAAGGAATTAACTGCCTGTGAAACGATGCACAAAGTTGTGTAACCGAGACAGTGGCAGCTGTGGACATCAATAAATGATAGAACTGGGCTGGGTTTCTTTAAACCGTTTTGATTAATGTCACATTTTAAAGATATTTGTGTGAATTAAGCAGCTATTTCACAGGTTGGCCACTGCAAAAAGAGCAGGAAAGGCAAAACACCCACCCGAAGCACAGCTGCTTCAGAGAACCAGCCTGGAGCTGCCACAGCAGGAGGCTCAGGCTGCGCTCCATCAGGTACCCGTTCATGCTTAGGGTGTGAGGCAACCCCTGCTACTCCCTCAGCACTCACCCTCCTCCTGGCCGGGAAGGAAGCAAGGAATGAAATGTGCCTCGATAATAGCACTAGGGATGTTACCAGTTAGATGAAGCAAGGTACCCACTGGGGACTGATGGTGACACAGCAGCTTAGCACAAAAAGGAGAAAAAGTGGTAAGAAGGAAGGTTCCTTCCTGGCTTCTTATCCCCTGTAGGTCTTCAGCTACAGGATGGCAAACACATGCCCATATCCCAGAAACAGACCTTATTTTCTCCCAGCCACAAGCTGTTGCAAAAGACTTATACCAATTAAAAAAAAAAAAGTTAGAAAAAAAAAAAAGGAATTCAAACAGGGAGGTGATTTAAATGACAGCATGCACTTGGTGTCCCCAGATGAGCTTGCAAAACAGCAGAAGGAGTCTCAAGTATCTCTGACATCCAAACAAGTTCCCAGAACTTCCCAGGATGTTCTGCAACATGTTTAGCAATTAACTCTTTAAATTACACTATCACTAAATTTGTAACTACAAAGCCCAATCCAAACCCAAATGAAATTAATGGAAGGACCTCCACTGATCTAAATGGATCTTATCAGCCCACTGGCACTTACATCTTGGCTGATTTTTAACAAAGAATATGAAGTATTGCCATTTTTTAAAAAAGAGAAAAATATTTTTCAGATAAATTTACAAAAGAAATGCAGATACTCTAGAGCAGTATCAAGTGCAAGCGGGTGGTACAGCATCTTCTTCCAAAGTCGTCTGCCAGAAACTCTTGAACTCTGTACATTTTGTAACAGTTCTCAGACAAACTGAGCCAAGACACACAAATTTCATATGGACAAACAGGAAAGTAAATACAACTGAACATGTTCTCTTGGGTACAGCATACAATTTAAAGTGAAACCTAGAGATCCAGGGCATTTTGTTATTGCCCATTAAAACAGCATCCCAAATACCAAAATGAAAAGATAATCCCTCACGTGGATGTATGCTTTGTTGACTTTCGTATCTCCACAAATGCTTTGAACAATTCAAAGTTAGTTCCTATCAAACACTCTAAAGTCTGTTAAAGTGGAATGAAACTTCCATATAATTTAATTCTTGCTAATGGCCATGGTAAGAATAGTC